AGTTGGTGTGTATTGGAGCCAGCGGGCTGGCAGGGTCTAGTGATGCAGTGCAAGTGGAGCAGGCTGGGGCCCCTTCTGAGCATGGGTCCAGCTCCATGGAGCCACTGGTGCCATTGTAAACCTGCCAGCACCCCACAGACAGCTAAGTTCGCCCAGCACCAACATCAGAGCCACGGAAGCACACACCCAAGGACTATACAACTTAGGTGGTAACGTACATGGACCAGTTTGCTGGGTACACATTGCCTGAGACTAACGGGGCATGGGGGAGTTTAACTCTGCTGAGCTAATGTTTCAGGTTAGCCCCCGCTCAGGAATCAGTGGAAAGTGCTTGTCACGCCCCTGAAGGTAAGACACGTTGTTTTCAATATGAAAGCTAAAACGCCACGCTGCGCGAGGCTGCGACCTAGACACCCGGCCGAGCCGGGCTGGCTGCTTGGCACCTCCTGAGCGGCACAGAACAAACGCACCCTGGCCTGTGCACACACACAACCACAGATGGCAGAAGCGCACGGAGACCCAGCAAACGCTGCGGAGGCGGCTCCTGTGCTGCGGCAGGACTTATTACTAGGCGATGATAGTAGCGATCCGGTCACCAATCCACGCGCGCGCCCTGCACCAAGACATGGGGGCTTCTTTAGCGCGCGGCCCTTCTCTGGCTCGCGCGCGGAAGAGAACCGAAATCGCGCATGCGCTTGGCTTGGCGAAGGCTGCGGGATCCGTTTCCCGGCATTCGTTGGGGCGGAAGGGCTCGGGGGGCGGGGCTGTGGGATGAGCGGAAGCGGATTGGGGAGCCGGTGTTGTGCCTGTCAGCCAGGTAGGGAAGAGACGAGAGCGCCGCTGCTGCCGCCGCCGCCGGGGGAGCCCGAGCCTTTGTTGGTAGGGGCGGCCCCGGGGGGCGTGAGGGGGGGAAGGGCGGCTTCGTGGCCCGGGGCGTGGGGGACAGGGCCGGCCGGCCGGCCCCGTTCCCCAGGGGGGTGTTTGAGGGCGTAGCAGGGCCGGCCCCGTTCCCCGGGGTGTCTGCGAGTGCTAGAGCAGGACAGGATCGAGAGGTGAGAGCAGGACTGCCCTGTGCGCTGTGCTGGGAATCGGGGCTATGATGCGATACGGGGGCTTAGGGAATTGGTCATTGTGTGAGTTCTGTGAACTGGGACAGGTATAAGTGTGAGTTTGAGATGCGTATGGGATGGGGTTTGTTATACTAGGTGTTGGGGTGGTCGTAGTTGTTGAGTAAAGTGGGATTATTATCTCATTATCAGCATCTTATTTTGATTCTTCTCTATAGATGTCTCCCTGGTCCAGGTCATGCTCTTTTCTCTCCTCCTTCCTCCCCTCCCTGTTCCTGCCCAGCCTATCTGTACATGCAGTGATCTGCTTTTGTTCTGCTGCAGCAGTTCCTGGTACTGGACTGTATGAGCACTTGGATTCTGATGGCAGGAGCAATCCCTTTCCCCCCCCTCTCAAATCCCTGTTGTTAATACCAATGTAATGTTCCCTGTGTGCGTGTAAGGGGTTGTTGTAAATCTCTCTTACCAGTGCCTCTGTGCAGTGTTCCATGGGAGCTAGCTGCCGTGACTCAGCCTTATTCTAGCATGGATCACCTCGTTGCACATCTGTGCTGCATTGACCCTGAGTTGTCCTGGTGTGAGTCGGGGTTTTACTATGCGCATTAATAATGTATACTTTCCTAAATTGTCCTCTTAGGGGCCACAAGGTCTGATGATTATCAATTTTAGATATACATAGAGCCCTTGTTATCATAGTATCTGAGAATATCACAATCTTTAAATGTATTTATCGTCACAACACCTCAGTGAGGTAAGGAAGTGCTATCACTCTTCTGTGGCTAAGTCCAAATATAACAATAAGTTATATAAACTATTATTTATATTGAATTGTTTTGGGGAGAACAAGGGATGTATTGAGGGAATGATGCATCAAATAGTTAAGTCTTCTCTTACTACCCAAATCTAGAATTTACTCAGGGCGCATAGATTGGTGCTTCCTTAAAAGTATTTTTGTGTTGTTTCCTTCTGCATTTGCTATAGAATCACAATTTTTACCCCATATAATTCCTAAACGTTGAGAACTGTACTATGGCTGCTATGACTCTGAAAAACTAATGTGTTTGCTGTACTGTAAGGACCCAATCTAACTTTCATAGGGTCCAAGAATATCACTTACCAGAAAATCAAAGCAATGAGTCTTCTGTTACTGCTTAGTATGCTATTCCACAGCCTACTATACCACACTGTCGTCTGTCTGTCTTTATGGTATGTAAACTGGTATCTCATCTTGGTGCCATGAGCGTGTGGGTTTTGGTTTGTAGGTAGGACATGGAAAATTACCACTACTCTTGTCCCATTTTGACCCTCAGGATGTGATTCCCCTGTGTACACAGCCCTTTGGCCTCGTGCCTTCTTATTTCTTGCATTGTGTATTCATGTCTAATTTGTTGTTAATTTATTTTAGTTATTTTACAGCTCCTGAGAATTATGCAATGTTTTTGAGTTCTCTGGTCTAGTAAACAGGGATATTCCCCAAAACCTTAATAGATAAGTGCATTTAAACTGCACTCTTATTGTTGGGCCCTTGTGTTCCCTTTCCTCAAAGAAAACTCATCCTATCTTCTAACTGGTTGGTGATTCAATGGGGGACTGTGGTCTTCCTTCTGAGCCAATTCTGATCAAATGGTTCAGTAAGGTATTGAAGGTCACTCTGCTACTAGAAGTGACATATTTCACTGAAGAGAGATACTGAGGTCATGATCACTTATATTAAAAATCTCATAACACTTTTCACAAGATTTAGGGGTGTTAATCCTTGTATCCTGTCTAAGTTATAACTTGAGTCGTTGTATGTTGTCTACTGTAATTGCTATAGGTCTGGTCTACAATATCTGAAGGCTAATGGGTGCTGGAGATAGTCAGCAAAGGGTTTACAATAGAATTTATCAGGGCTTCTTGGGGTTTAATAGTTAGCTGGTGATGCTGAACAAAATTAACCTTGGTCTAAACTGACTGCTAAAATATGTTCAGCATTGTGTAAGTTAGCATGGACAACCCTGTTCAGATATGGGTGAAATCTAACAGTGTGGTGTAGGCCGTATCTTTTCATTTGGATGTGAAGAGGAGTCTTCACTTCCTCTTCTAAACTTTCTCCTTAGGACTGTTCACTGTTAAACAGCTGCTATATTCCATCCAAGTGTAGAGGAAGTGATTCTTCATAAATATTATGTATGAGGACTTTGGGATCTTTTGAGATTAATACTGCTTTGTAAATGTAAGATGTGGTTATTAACTTAAGTCTAAAATAGTGCCAAATCATCTATTTAAGTTTTCAAATGTTTTGCCATTGAAACAATCTGTTTTGCCCTTATGGTCGGGGGGAAGAGGGCGGGCTTTATCTTGATTATATTCCTGAGCCTTCATGTGTTATGAACAACAAAATACTTTGTCACTCAAACCACTATGGTCCCCATATTTAGCTACTTTATGTTTGGTGACCCTGGCTTTACTAAGATAAATTGACTAGTTCACCTAGTCAAGCTAGCAAGGCTAATTCCAGAGGAACCGAAAGCACTGTCTTTAATGCCTACTGTGTGAATTTAAAAAAATAAAATAAAATAAATCTTCTATTGGGTCAGTATGCTGTGTCAGAAGTAAAACACATTGGAAAGAGAAATTTTAACTACTTGTACACTTTAAAGGATTCTAAATTAACTTTGTTAACTCAAGAAAGGTACCTGGACATTGCTCTGGGCAGCCGAATGAAGACCTTGACTCAAGGTGCAGGTATGGTCCAGAAAGCTAAGATGTTAGGATGCCTAAGGAACAGGATGGAGAATAATATGGAAAATATGATGCCATTATACAAAATATTATACGATGCTATTATACGAAAATACAATGCTGAAGCCTCACCTAGAATATTATGTGCAGTACTGGTTACCTAATCTCAAATGGGATATTGCAGAATTGGAACAGGTCCAGAGAAGGATAACACATGATTAGAGGCATGAGGAAAAACTCATTTAAAGAGAGACTAAAAAGATTGGGTTTGTTTACTTTAGAAAGGAGACAAGTAAGAGGGGATATGATAAAAATATGTCAAAGGTAGATCCAGAGTTTCTGTTCTCCCTGTCATGACACAAAACAAGGGGATGTTTTAATGAAATGAAAAGATGGAAGATGCAAAACTTATAGAAGGAAATATTTTTTTCACACATTATTGAGCTGTGGAAGTCATTGCCACAGGATACTGTAGAGGCCAAATACTTAGTAAGATTGTAAACAAGGATTTTAAGAGGCAAAGTAGCTGCTTAAAAGAGGAAATCTTTGCCTCCCTTTCAAACAGAAGAAGTGACTTCATGTATGTGCAATTTGTGTTTGTATGTATGCTAAGCCACGGTATCCCCGGTTCCAATCGTTATTTTAGTAATTTTGGGTTTTCAGACATAGTTGCTTACAGTTAGGCACTGCTCAACTTGAGGCTCCTCCTTGAAAATGTTGTTCTTAACATAATATGCAGAACTTTATTTGAATAAACTTTGCTTGACATGCAGAGCTCTCTTTGAAGATACATGGCTGGTACTACTTCATACCCTCAGAAGCTGGATATTTGGTTTATAAGTACTGATATGTTCCTGCTGATCACTTCCCACCTGAAGTCCTAATCTGTAGTGGCATCAAAATTGGTTGCTACGGTAAGGATTATATAACTAATGGATAATTATTAGCCAAAGTGCTATAAGGAGGTGTAACTTCATTATTTTTTATTAAGACACTGACAGTGTGTTTGATGCTGTACAAAAGCAAATGAGGCCCTTGCCCAAGAAACTTAGTCTAAATAAATTTCATGTTTGAGTTTCACCATAGCCTTGTGACTTACAGTGAGGAATAAGCAACAGCTGCAGATGAATTTGCAAGGACTTTTTTTGTGAAAATATGGCATTATAAACAACAGCCCAAAAATATTGCTTACAAACTGAATAGTTTCTAAAGGGAAGAGTTTTTTACAGGTTTCTATTAGATGACACTTGCTTCTTGAGATTGAACCTAAATGCACTTAAAAAAGTTAATTACAATTGCGGTAATTTAAAACTGAAGCAATGATGGTTGTATTGAAGCTTTGACTTTTAGCAAAAAAGCTAAAAGACAAAGCTGTAGAAGTAGGTGAGGTGAACGGGTATGTTTCCGCAAAGAATTTCTAGAATATCTAATATTACTGACCTTGAAAACTGTTTTTTGTTCCTTTTCCTGGTGAATGAGCATTTTGACTAATCTTGTAATACTTCAAATTTAGGAATCAAGTGACATGGAGAAAATGTGTTTAAGATGGTCCATCCAGAAGATTTGTTACTTTGTGAAGATCTTGCTTTTGACTAATATGTAAATACCATGACAACTTCAAATTGAATTATTTTTCTTGAAATCGAGACTCATCTGTTGCCTTCATCAGAAATGTTTTTAACATTTTCAAGAAAAAACATGTCCCAGAAACTGAGTTTGTTGTTGCTGGTGTTTGGATTTATTTGGGGCTTGATGTTGCTGCGCTATACTTTTCAGCATCCAAGGCACCAAAGCAGTGCTGAATTGCGGGAACAGATACTAGACTTAAGTAAAAGATATGTGAAAGCCCTGGCAGAAGAAAATAAGAACATAATGAACGGTGGTAATGGAGCCTCAATGGCAGGATATGGTAAGATTAAATAAACCTGGCTACACAAACCTTTTTTTGGTACAACTTTTACATCTTATTTTAAATGGTACATGGAACTCTTCAAAATATTTTTTTAATGTGCTGACTGTGTGTTTGCTCATTGATGGGGCTTAATTTTAAGGCATAACTTTTAACACTTGTTCTTTAAACATAGTTGTATGTATTATAGTAATTTGACTGTCAGCATCAATATTAGGTTGCCTTGTTTCTCCACCAATTGCGAATAGAGCTCTGGGGGGGTTTTCTCCACAGTAACATGAAGGAGTACATTCATAATGTAGGAATTAAATGTAAAATTAAAACACTTCACTACCCAAACACTGTCACTTTGTGTGTTATTTCTACCTTTTTATTGCTTTTATATCTTTTTTTTTCCTTTAATTTTCTTCTCTTCCACTATTAACAAACAATGAGAAGCAATCGTGATGGTAAAATTGGAGAGGTGGGGGCATGATTATGTATTTAGCAGAAGGCAGTAGAGTGCTCCAAATCTCAAGCCTCCATTGTGTTTGCATCACCATATTCCCCTCTGACTTGACACCACTATGCCCTGTTACTTGTGCACCTGCTATATGTCTATAGCCCATGCTCATCTAGAATGCAAGAGAGATCTGTGTGTGGTTTAGTTATTGAGATCTGTTTAATGTAAACATTGAAAATTTCTCACTTCAAAAACGTAATACTTTAAACTCTGCAACCCCAGTCTTATGATTTGTCTAGGTGTCCTAACCTGCCATTTGACAAATACAATCTACTTAAATGTCCTACACTATTCTCCAGTGTTTCATTCAGACTTAAATTTCTGAGAACTAGATAAAATAAACTCATTGCTTGCCTGTATTCTGTCATGCAAAACAAAAACTTCAGTGATAACATAGGTAATATAGACTTAAACAGGAATTAGTTTTCAGAGAAAGAGCTAAATTAAGATTTTTACATACAGAGAGACTCATTACTATACTTACTGCCCCTTCTTAGAAGGAATTCTAGTTGAGGGTAAATCTCTCTTTCAGTGTGTAGGTTAGGTCCAATATTTTAGGGTGTCAAAATCTTTACCTCCACAAGACCCTTAAAGGGGTGGGGAAGTACATCTATAACTGGATCTATATACCTTGGTTCTGTGCAAAGGAACTTATTTGAAACATATTTAGAACAATAAAATTCATTAGTTTGTTCACTGATGCAGACTCACCATCAAAGGTTTGGTTTGAGAGAATAAGACAAATCCAAATAATGAAGAATTTTGAAAAACTAAGTGTCAAATAATTTGGTCAGGCCAGATGGCTCTCAAATTGTGAGGAAATGAACTAATTAATTCTGAAAGAATACATACAGCAAAGTTGTTGAGGTTTTTGTTGAATTAATGTTGATTACTGCATTGTTTGTTTAGTAGTCTTGCCTATTGGTGTTCTTCCTTCCCACACCTTGATTAACTGTTTTTATAATATCAGTAGGGTCTTCTTCCACCCTGCTTCTTTTTCTCGATATATAGATAAGTTGATGTAAAAAAAATTCATAAAGTTGCCTAAGTAAATCTTTACATCCAAGAATTTTAACATAGGAAAGAAACTGTATCCCTTTTTTTCTGCTTTAAGAATTACATTGTGTATTACAATAATGCTTTACCTTCTCCTTGTGGCAGACAGCAAGTTCTGAACTTGTAGAATAATTGGAAAGGAACTGTAAAAGGAAACAATTAAGATCTATCTTATCTAGGGTGGAAAAACATAAGTGCTTTCTAATGCTGCCCAGTGCCAGAAGCTGTTATACAGGTTAAATTTATTTCCTCTCTACTGCTGCTGTGGATTAAAGTCCAAACTATTACCCTTAAATAGTCACTTATCTTTTAAAAAATAAAATGGGGGAAGAAGAGGAGACTAATGTTATTTTATATTCTGTGATTCAGTGGGCCAATTCTCAGTTTGCTATTGTGGTAGTATCTTCTAGTATGCAAAAAATAAGAAATAGTACTTTAAATATATGGACATCTAGCATCCATATGTAGAAGACTCTACCTTTTCTCTGTCCTCTCCAAACAAATCCAGGAAAAAAGAAAAGCAACCTTTGAAGACATAAATTAGATGTCCAAATCCACAAATTTCTCTCACACTGCTGATAATATAAATGAACAGTATTCAATACTACTTTTTGTTTTGTCTTCTTCAGCTGATCTCAAAAGAACAATTGCTGTTCTTCTGGATGACATCTTACAACGTCTGGTGAAATTGGAAAACAAAGTTGACTACATTGTTGTGAATGGCTCAGCAACAAATACCACCAATGGAACCAGTGGTAATCTGGTTCCAGTAACTACAAGTAAACGTGTAAATGCAGCAAGCAATATTAGATAACATACAAGATCACCTTATGTTACTTTATCTATCATAGATTCGATTTGATTCAAGAAAAGCTTTTTACCTCTGGCTAGGCAAAGCAATAGTTGACACTAACATATCGTACGCTGTTCTGCTATAGAATGTGCTGGGTACATGCAGTCCCAACTTCTGTACATAAGGTTCTCAAAGGATTAATTCGTTGCTTTCAGACAGTTCTGTTAAAGCAGTGCTGTACAATATTGTATTTAAAGATATTCTGGTAACTTGGCTGATGTAGTATGCCAAATGGGTGATACTTTGTAATGTTTGAAGTTAAACTAAAATGGAAAAATATATATTCACTTCTAAAATATATTTATTTAAATAAAAATTTAACATATCTTTTTGGATAGATTGATTATATAGCTTAATCATTTTTTGTGTGAACTGTTTTAAACAGGTAACTAAGGATAATGTAATGTTAGAAGATGTATATTATTTACAGTACAGTATGTTGTTACTTATTAATTTGCTAGTGATATGTTGAAGATAACATTGAGATGTTTTAAAAATTGCAACCCAAAGAATGTCTTTATTTGCACTACCTGCTAGAATAGCTAGAGAGAATTGATTGTATATTAAAAAAAATCAATTATAATGAAAATCTTGGGTAGCAACACTGTCCAGATATCTTTGCTCCAGAAATAGATCAGTTAGATTATCAAAGGCAAAACAATCTCTGATATCATGCATAGCTATTTCATAGAAAGATATTTGTGTGTGTATTTTGTAACTTCAGATAAGTTATTTAAGAGATGTTTTCATATATGTGAATATTTTTATTCATTGCTGTTACTTTTTAATATTTTAGTATCTTGTAGTGTGTGACAAATATAGCACATTATCTCCTTAAGTTACTTTTTTAAATAGGAGGGAGTAGGTAAATTAAGTTGAAGGGAAGCAGTGCATCTTGGAATATATACTAAAGAGATGCATGTGCTAATGGTGTTTTATGAGGGACGTAGGTGGAAGCTAAGGTTACATTGCCTTATATCCACATTAGCCTTACAGCAATGAAAATTGCAGTGAGGGTGCACTATATTCCAAAATGTGCTTTCTGCATCATAAATGCTAAAATGAAAGTGCCATTCAGCCCTATGTTTTTTAAAAACTATATTGAGTGGTGGTTGTGGGGGTTTTTTGTTTTGTTTTTTTAGAATTATGTTCAGTAATTTTTGCTTGAAATATGCTGTGTAATAGCTTTTTAATATTTTATTTAAAAAAACATGGAATAAGACCAGAAGTGCTGGATGACATATGGTCTCAAGGTTTTCTGCTTTTCTCCCTGATGATAGTCTGGACTGGTCTAGAGGAAAGTAGAATATATAAATAAAACTTGAGTTAGTGTCCAACTTTTTTTATTTTGTGTTTGACATACTGAGTGTAAACTTTTTTTTCTTCCAGGAAGAAAGAAAATAAAATTTTATTTGTATTTGTGGAAAGGTGTTTTTTTTTTTTTATTAAATGATTCGCCTTTTCCTATTTTCTACACGTACTCTCCATGTACCTTGAGACTTTAAACTTTTGATCTTTGTAACTTATCACTAATCATAAAGTCTGCTATTTATCTCAGAGGCTGTATAAGTAGAAGAGAGTATAATTCTCTTGGTTTTGGAACCCCAATATTTCTCAAAAACTTTGCCTAGATTGGAGGGGAGAGAAGAAAATATGACTGCAATAGTTTTGGAGGGGGGAAGCTTTCAAAGGCATAGAAGACAGATAGACACGTAACTCCTGTTGATGCATTTGAAAAATCTCTGACTAATCTGAAGGCACCCTATTTTTCTGGGTACTGGTTGATTTCACCAGGCAAGTTTTAATAATATTTAGTAATGCATATGTAAACTGGTGATTGATTGCTCCTCTTGAAGAGCATGAAGTCCAAAAGAAAATTGTCAAAGACTACTAGACATGAGTGGTGAAAGTTTCAAAAGCAGGCAGATGGATCTCTTAGAACATAAAAACGGGTCAGAGCAAAGGTCCATTTAGCCCAGTATCCTGTCTTCCACTAGTGGTCAATACCTGGTGCTTCAGAGGGAATGAAAAGAACAGGTAACCATCAAGTGATCCATTACCTTTCACCCATTCCCAGCTTCTGGCAAACAGAGGCTAGGGACACCATCCTTGCCCATCCCGGCTAATAGCCATTGATGGAGCTATCCTCTATGAATTTATCTAGTTCTTTTTGAACTCTGTTATAGTCTTGGCCTTCACAATATCCTCTGGCAAGGAGTTCCACAGGCTGACTGTGTGTTGTGTGAAAAAATACTTCCTTTTGTTAGTTTTTAACCTGCTGCCTATTAATTTCATTTGGTGGTGCCTAGTTCTTGTGTTATGAAAAGGAGTAAAGAACACTTCCTTATTTACTTTCTCCACACCAGTCATGATTTTATAGACCTCTATCCTATCTTAGTCGTCTCTTTTCCAACCTGAAAAGTCCCAATTTTATTAATCTCTCCTCATACGGAGGCCGTTCCATACCCCTAATAATTTTTGTTGCCCTTTTCTGAACCTTTTCCAATTCCAATACATCTTTTTTGAGGTGGGGTAACTACTTCTGCATGCAGTATTCAAGATGTGGGCGTATTTATACTGAGGCACTATGATAATTTCTGTCTTTTATTATCTATCCCTTTCTTAATGATTCCCAACATTCTGTTAGCTTTTTTAACTGCCACTGCACATTGAGTGGATGTTTTCAGAGAACTATACACAATGATTCCAAGATCTCTTTCTTGAGTGGTAACAGCTAATTTAGATCACATCATTCTATATGTATAGTTGGGATTATGTTTTCCAATGTGCATTATTCTCATTTATCAACATTGAATTTCATCTGCCATTTTGTTGCCCAGTCACCCAGCTTTGAGAGATCCTTTTGTAGCTCTCCACAGTCTGCCTGGGACTTAACTATCTTGAGTAGTTTTGTATAATCTGCAAATTTTGCCACCTCACTGTTTACCCTGTTTCCAGATCATTTAATAATATGTTAAATAGGACTGGGCCCATATTGACCCCTGGGGTACACCACTATTTACCGCTCTTCATTCTGAAAACTGACCATTTATTCCTACTCTTTGTTTCCTATTTTTTAATCTTATCAATCCATGAGAGAACCTCCCCTCTTATCCCGTGACAGCTTACTTTGCTTAAGAGCCTTTGGTGAGGGACTTTGTCAAAGGTTTTCTGAAAATCTAAATACACTATATCCACTGGATCCCCCTTGTCCACATGCTTGTTGACCCCCTCAAATAATTCTATTAGATTGGTGAGACATGATTTCCCTTTACAAAAAACATGTTGGCTATTCCTCAACAAATTATGTTCATATATGTGTCTGACAATTTTGTTCTTTACTATAGTTTCAACCAGTTTACCCAGCAGTGAAGGCAGGCTTACTGGCCTGTAATTGCTGGGATCACCTCTGGAGCCCTTTTTAAAAATTGGCGTCACGTTAGCTATCCTCCAGTCCTTTGGTACAGACGACAGTTAGTAGTCCTGCAATTTCACATTTGATTTCTTTCAGAATCCTTGGGTGAATACCATCTGGTCCTGGTAACTTATTACTGTTTAGTTTATCAATTTGTTCCAAAACCTCCTCTAATGACAGTTCAGTCTGGGACAGTTCCTCAGATTTGGCACCTAAAAAGAATGGTTCAGGTTTGGGAATCTCCCTCACATCCTGAGCCGTGAAGACAGATGCAAAGAATTCGTTTAGTTTCTCCACAATGGCCTTATCCTCCTAGAGTGCTCCTTTATCATCTCGATAGTTCAGTGGCCCCACTGGTTGTTTAGCAGGCTTCCTGCTTCTGATGTACTTTAAAAAAATATTTTGCTATTACTTTTTGAGTCTTTGGCTAGCTGTTCTTCAAATTCTTTTTTGACCTTCCTAATTATATTTTTAATTATATTTCATTTGCTAGAGTTTATGCTCCTTTCTATTTTCCTCACTAGGATTTAACTTCCACTTTTTGCCTCTCACTGCTTCTTTTACTTTATTGTTTAGCTACGGTGGCTCTATTTTGGTTCTCTTACAAGGTTTTCTAGTTTGGGGTATACATTTAAGTTGAGCTTCTATTACGGTGTCTTTAAAAAGTTTGCATGCAGCTTGCAGGGATTTTACTTTTGGCGCTGTACCTTTTAATTTCTGTTTAACTAACCTCCTCATCAGGGCCGGCTCTAGGCACCAACGCTCCAAGCATGTGCTTGGGGCGGCACTTTCCAAGGGGCGGCACTCCGCCCCCCCCCCTTTTTTTATTTTGCTTGGGATGGCAAAAAGCCGGGAGCCGGCCCTGGTCAATACTCCCAATACTTCTGTTAGTCTCAAAGGTGCCACAGGACCCTCTGTTGCTTTTTACAGATTCAGACTAACACGGCTACCCCTCTGATACCATTTATCTATGTTTCTAATGATCGAATCGCCCATTACTAATACCTGTCTCTTTCTAACAACTGGAGTTCCCTCCCACGGAGAGGTATCCTCAGCGCAAGAGGATACCACAACATCATCTGGAAGAAGGGTCCCAACTATTGGATCGTTTCCCTCTGCTCCAGTTGGATGTTCTCCTTCCCTGAGAGCACTGGGGTTGTCAGACCGAGGGAGGGACCGTTCCAGTGTCCTGGAATCATCTATGTACCTCTCTGTCTTCCTTAACGCCTCCAGCTCAGTCACCCTGGCCTCCAAAGCCTGTACACTGTCTCTAAGGGTTAGGAGTTCCTTTCACCAAATGCATACATATGCCACCTACCCATAGGGCAGGTAATCATACATGCTGCATTGGGTGCAATAAACTGGATAGCCCCCACTCTGTTGATGGACTTCTGCCTGCATTCTCTTTTTACACCTGTAGCTGGTTCCTTTGGTATTGTTTTGTTTTTATCAGGTGATGTTTTTAGCTTAAGTTTAAAGAAGTTTACGGAATGTTAAGTGTATGTAGCCCCCTCACGATCCCCCTGTAAACTCCCTCGCAAAACTCCCCTGTTAACCGCTCCTGTTCACTAGATCCTCTGGTTGCTTAGGAGCAGGCTTTTTAAAGCCCTGGTCTTCCTGAGTAGCCCTGCCCTCTGGTTAAGGGTTGATGGGTGCTAAAGGGCTTAGGGATCAAAGCCTTGTTAAGAAGCTCTCAACCTTGCCTATAAGACCGCGAGGCTCAGCACCCATACAGTCAGCACACGGTCCCCCGAACAAACAGACCACACGGTATGTTTCAGTCCAGCAGCAAGCACACCACAACAAACACAAACACAGACAAAACAGATAACAAACTTACCCCAAGGGTCATGTAAGCATGTCTCCTTCACCTGGAGCAGTCCCTCGCAAAACTCTCCTGTTCGCTAGCTCTTTGCCCAGGCACTGTGGATAAGCGATTTTGATGACTGATGAGCTTGTGTAGATGTGTGCAATCATACAACTATTACAAAGCAGTTCTGTAGTTTTGTAGTAAACAGTTGCACGATCTTTCAGCTTTGTGTAATACACATACTTACTGGATATAGCTTATAAAAATACTAAATATTTAAGGAGAACTTGTAGATAATTATATAACAAATATTAAATTACTTTTGTGGATGGAACAGATGTCTCACTACTGTTTTAACAATACAGTGTTATACTTCTAATTTCAGGTTATGTGAGAAACCACAAAAGAATTGGCTGTTTCAAACTGGTACGACACAGAATTTATTTGTAAATACTTTTTTTAGCTGGTAACTACTCTGAAACCAACTGATTTTTTTTTTTTTTAATTTTACTGTGGTTTTTCTAATGGACCTGAATTTTCTCAATCACAATGTTTCATGCCCCTTTGGGGCATAAAGTAATTCACGTGTTCTTGCACTTCAATGATTGGCTAACTTGGGCAGGGAAAGCTAGGGAGGTCAACACCTAAAATAAATGTCATAACTTGCTAGATAAGAATAGATGAGGGAGGGAAATGTAGTCTTGGCAACTGCTTTCTGAACGGCTACAAGCACCTGGGAATCCAACACAATCCCCAATATGTTCCAGACCTGATTACTATAGCAAGCACACATGTCCAATCAAGGCAACTGAAAGAATCTCTTATTTTTCTCAGTTGCCTTCTCCAATGTGTGAATTACTTCAGTTTTATCCTGTTTGAGTCCAAGCCTGCTAGCTCCTAAGCTCCAATCTCAGCAAGCCCATGAGTCAATTGCTCAATTGTATTGTCTCATCTGAAATGGAGACTTTAACAAACTGCAGCCCCAATGCAACCACTTCTAACAGCTTTATGTTGGTGTGCATACAGTACCTAGCACAATGGAGCCCTGACCAAAAGTTGGGGCCTCTAGCTGCTGTTGTAATCCAAATAATATATATTGAACAGGAGCAGTGGCAGAGCCTTGAACAGCTTCATATTAGAGAATCATTGGAGCATATAAAATGCCCTCCCCCACAAAAAAAAACCCCTCTGGGATCTGTCAT